CGTTGGATTGATCCCGTGTCGCACAATCGAAAGGCCGGCGCACCGGATCAATTGCTGCAGCGCAACAGTCTCGAATTTAGGCGGTCTAATTCACTAGCAAACATAATGCACACCCCGGGAGCCATCGGGCAGGCCGTAATAGCTATGTTTCACGTGCAACGTCCAACATAGATCAGCGTCACGTGTAATTGTTTATGTGTTGTGGTTGGCAGAAGCAAAGGCGTGCTGCTTGACGCATGCACACATGGTTCGATAGAAAGCACTGTATATGTAGTGCACCGTACACGTGCGTGCTGCGTGCGTGCGTGCGCACTACACGTGCGTGGCATGCGGTGCCAGTGCGTGCGCAGAGCAGTGAGAGGGTGCGAACTTTCCCTGACTGAGCGAAGCTGGCTCTCACGCTGTATATCCTTGCGTCAGGAGGGGGTAGGCAAGCGCGTGATGCATCGTCCTGCGCTTCCGTACTCCTTGCGTAAGACCTCTGACGCGAGCTCCCGCTACACCGCTACATGGTCCAGCTAGCAGGGTCGGACAAGCCGCCAGGCAGCTAGAGAGCAGTGTGTAGTGGTGCGAGCTTCTGACTGAGCCACGCTGGCCATCGTGTTGCTTTGGAGCTGGATCGCACGCAGCTTATATACAGCCGGTGAACACCAGCAGTGGTCACAGTCATGTGACCCCCGTGTCACCTGGGCAGGTGTCCCGTCCTAAATTAAAACTATAGGTCAAAGTGGTGCAGGCATGCTTTCCGTTTCGCAATCCGCTGTTAGCGCCACGTGCTACGAAGCGCGTAGCGTCTTCAAGGCTTGAAGTAATGCTCTGACGCATGCTATAGTGTATGTTGTACAGCGGCGGTCGTGTGGCCTATATAGCTCCCCAAATCCATGGACGTGTGCGGCGAGCAATGATTTGTGTGCGTGCGTGCGGTGCGTCGCGTGTGTGTGCAACGTACACGTGGCGTGCGTGCGTGGCGTGCTGCGTGCGCGCGCGTGTGCGTGTGCATGTATACGTGCGTGCGCAGCGTACCGTGCGGTGCATGGGTGATGCGTGCGTGCGTGTGGCACGGTAACACGTGCAGTGCGTGCGAGCGTGGCGTACGCTACATTGTCGTGCGCGTGGCGTGGCGTGTGAACTTACACTTGCGTCATGCAGTTGTAAATTTAATCATGTAATATGGATAAACATAGAAAATACAGAAAACCAGGAAAATAATTAAAAAACAGATGGGATTTCGATCCAACACATTTCAGCAGTGCTCCTCGTGTGCTCTAAAGGCATATCAGCTATCGAGGCATGCGGTTATGTCTTACTGGATGTGCCTTGACAACACTGGGGCCGTCATTGAGGATTTTGAGGCACGTGATTTGATACCAATTGGGAATTTGCGATGGCATCGTCACGCCGAGTAAACATCGTGAGTGGGCATGGCGTGGGCGTAGTCCATTGAGGTAATTAGGGTTGATTGAGTTTTATTATTAGTTTTTTCGTGCGCTTTCACATGCCCAAAATTTTCACGGATGTTAGATGACTGCTGTACAGCAAACGCTGCGGTCAAGTCAGTCACTGTTGCCCACGAATTCAGACTAAGCGAATTCCCAGTGAATTCCCCTAAATGTAATTCGCGCATGTTTTGTTTAATGGCCACTAAGGGGAGCCGTGCCGCTAGCAAATTTTAATGACACGCTGCGGCTGAAAGGACGGGCCGCTCCGGGGCACCACTAGTCCAGATGAAAAGCGGATACCAGAGAAGGCGTCCGCCTGAGACGGTGTTCGATCCTGCCCGCTAAAGCGAGGCGAAATCTTCGGCGCGCAGCTTCCGCCGGCAAGGCGCACGCGAACCGCGGAAGCACTCTACGAAAGTATCACGCGCTGCAGCTATTCGATCCGTGCGCTAAATCGAAAGGCCGGCGCAGACGGATCAATTGGCTGCCAGCGAACAGTCTCGAATTTAGCGGTCTATATTCACTAGCAAACATATTGCAGCATGCCATCGCGCAGGCCAATAGCGAATGTTGCAGCGTGAGCGTCAACGATCAGGTCCACGTGTATTTGTTATGTGCTTGTGGTTGGCAGCAAGCAGAAGCGTGCTGCTTGAACATTTACATATCGAATGCAGCCACATGTCTGATTAGAAAGCACTTGTTTATGTATGCACGTAGCTAGCGTGGCGTGCTGCGTGCGTGACCAGTACACGTGCGTGCAATGCGTGGCGTGCGTGCGCGAGTCAGTGAAGAGGGTGGCGAGTTCCCTGACTGAGGCCGAGCTGGCTCCGCGCTGTATATCTTGGCCGTCAGGAAAGGGGTAGCAAGCGGCGTGAATCATCGTCCGTGCGCTTCGTATCTGGGCGTAGACTTCTGACCGAGCTCCGCTAGCACCCCTACATGGTCAGCTTAGCAGCGGCGGACAAGCCGCCAAGCAGTCTAGAGAGCAGTGGGAGGGGGCGAAGCTTCCCTGGACTAGAGCCACAGCTGGCTCTGTGTTGGGCTTTGGAGGGCTGCGACCGCCGCAGCTTATATACAGCCGTGGGACACCACGGGTACAGTCATGTGACCCCCACGTGTGACCTGCAGGTGTCCAGTCCAATTAAACTATAGGTCAAGTGGTGGCAGCAAGGCTTTCCTTTCCAATCCGCTGCTAGCCCACGTGGCTACGAAGCCGGACGTCTTCAGGTTGAAGTAATGCTGACGCATGCGTGCTAGCTATAGTGTATGTTGTACAGCGGGTCGAATTCGCTACACATGAAACATCGCGTACATGTGCGTGCGTGCTTGCGTGTGAACTTACACGTGCGTGCATCGTGGCGTGCGTCCGTGTGTGTGCACGTACACGTGCGTGCGTGCGCGCGTTGTGAAGCTACCGTTTGTGCGTGCGTGGCGTGCGTGGGCGTGTGCAGGTACACGTGTTGTGCATGTGTGCGTGCGTACGTTTCGTGTGTGTGTAGGTACACGAGCGTCGCTTGCGTGCGTGCGTGGGCGTGCGTGCGTGCCGTGCGTGTGGCGCACGTACACGTGCGTGCATGCGTGCGTGCATGAGTGTGTGTGTGCGCGTACACGTGCGTGCGTGCGTGCGTACGTACACGTGCGTGCGTGCGCTTGTATCGAACAATATCACGCATCTGGCTTGCTACCGAACCGTAATATGCATGGATAAACAGAAAAATACAGAAAACAAG